ACCTTAAGTGTGACTCGATAACAAGCATGTGGATCTCTACGTGGTAATAAGTTAATATTAATAATAAACCAATAATAATTAATAATAAATAAAATTACTAACTGAATAGAGTATCAACACTATCTTTAAATAATATTTATGAATTCTAAATACTTGTTTTGATTTAAAGAAATATAATGATTGATCTGAAAATAATAACTAGAATTAATAATTCAGATGAATCCATTTGGTTGTGTTTCGTTTTTTGAGTTGACTTATTTAATTATAGAATAGTAATTAGTCTAGTAATTCATTCAACACTTAAATATTCCAAAAATTTATTACCCTTTTCAGAAAGCAATCTTATTAAAGTCCTTCATGACAGTTTATAGCTTAATTATATCCAATTTATATTATTGTCTTATTATTTAAAGTTTAATACAAAGTTTGATCGATTTTTGCTTTTGTTGCGGTGATCTTGAAATGAGTCTGTGTATATGATGAAAATAACCCTGTTACTAAATAGTTTAAATACTTATTTCTCTACCGCTGAAACTGGCTCTATATCATTCATTCTAGGTAATCTAATGGTAGTCAGACAATCAGTTAGCTGTCATCATCAACATAGAGCCTGGCAAATATATTAGTTGAACCAGGTTTTTCCTTAGTACCTTATACCGAAACTCAACATTACTAACTCACTCATTCTATAATGTATGAGAAATGATTTGAAGCTACCGTTACTTCACCATTAAATTGCTTTACGTAATAATTACTCTCCAAAATGTTCAAAAGGTCTTGTTTTATATGTTTATTTTTTAAGAAGTGGTTTGGATAATATCTTTTAAAAAACTTGTAATAATCTGAAATGATGCTTATGTTTCACAGAACATGAAATACTTTTTATTTAATATTTAGTCATGAGTTAAACACACCTATCCATCATCTGCCTCTTTGATTTATCTGCTTATCGTATTTTTGTATTTAAGATTACATTCATTCAATGAAATTACAAACGAAAATATACAACAATAAAGCGGTGTTATCGATTATATATATGGATATCATTTACTTGTTTATTGATTTTGTCGTTAATTTTTTTTATCATACTGATCAGTAGTAGGTTTTTTATTGCTTCTATGTTTTGAAAGCACAAGTTGAGGAGGTGAGGGAAGAAAGGAAAGAGAAGTTCATTTGATGATATATAAAGTTCTCTTTTAATTTCTGTTTGTGTCATAAAACCAGAATATTTCTTTGTCTCTATTACTACTAAAAGGTTCAGTTCACACACATCTACACCTACTAAATAGTACTTTTGTTTATATTACTAAAATAATATGAACAAATCAATAGACAAAATCCATTCAACAAATATCGTTTTGTCCAAAGTCTTAGTCATTAAATATTCACATTACATTTAACTTTACGGATATCTATGACTCATAGATGTTTTATTTGAGCGAATAAATTTATATTTGAACAAACTCAAATTTTAGTTTACTCTCTGACTGCTATCGATGCTCAAATGTCATACAGCCATAATTTGGGAATTTATCATTTAAATAGATTTATGGATTTACATGTTTACTCAAATTATTATTATTATTAGTATATATTGTAGTGAATTGTGGTCAGCTTTTAAATGGTAATTCGTACTACATCTATGTTCTATTTGTAAATTAATTACAGTCTAATAGGAATCCTGGGTAATTCATGTGGAAATGCTTTTTGTTGAGTTTCCAGCATACATTATCAGAGTTATTAAACATCTACTATCCCATATAAAATCGATCAAACACTGCTAAGAAGTTTCAAGCTATGACGATGGAAGTTTTCCGTCCCGCTTGGCTTTCATTCGTTTTGCAGTTATCTGTCCGTGATAAGAGGACCTATTTTCAAGGTTATCACTTTAAACCGATTCGAAACACTTGTCACCTAAATATTCTTTTTTAGCTTATTTTTGTTCCTGAAGAGAAGCCTCAAACTTTCGCAAAAATCTCAGTGGCGTAGATATAAATAAATTCCAACTTCCTTTGTACAATGACTGTACGAACCTTCATATGACCTTTTGGTGTATGACCCATTAGTACTTAATATGTGTGTTTTGAAATGCGTCCCTTTTCAGGGTTATCAAGATTAATACTAAAACCATATGAATGCATGTCTGCCTGTTTATGTCTACACCTTAATATCCGATAAGCAGTTTGCTGTGTGGGCTTGATCATCAATTCTCTTGTTTTATTTTATGTAACCACCACAACAAACTTTCGTATTGCTTGTTAGGTGTATAGTGTTCTAGCTTCTGTTTCCGTTTTCTACTTAAATAATTTGTTGTATTTATTGGGTTTCCCATATTCTTTTTTACAAACACTAAGTAACATTTGTTTTACCATTGAGTCATCATTGCACAGGTTTCTTTCACATATTTCATCATTGAAATAAATTGACCTGATACAAGGGCGTACAACATATGTATATGCATAATTATTATGCCTACAAAACGCTGTGTTTATCTTGAAAATGTGTGTTTAGTTCTGTTGTTAGTCAGTAACTATTATGATTTGCTCATTAGTTATTCTAAAATGTTACACATGTCATTGTAAATATCGATATTATCAGCAGTAGTATATAAATTCGAGTTTAACTTTGTGTAATTGTTGTATTGTAGTGAACAAAACACTGATGGGGACAAGCAGAAGTACTTGACACGAAATTACAGAGCATGTCAACAAAATCTGAGAACTATATATTAAATCGTTAATTTGCAAAATGTCCACCGATTGTCTCAAAATGCCTCAGACTTCATTGTTCTTACATCTTCATACAAATTACATTCTATTGCCGCTCTTGCTTTCTTGATTTTCCCTCATCTTCTGCTGCCAGACATTACATTCCTGACTCGCATAATATACTACTTATATCAATATAAGTAGCACGCACCACAGTATTACTGTTTAGTAAATGACTGAAATGGATTGATGTAAGCTAACCGAAAACCAAGGTGGTCACTAGTTCAATTCTCTTACTAGTTCAAATCCGTTTACTGACCCCCGTGCTGTCATTGGGGTTTTGTTACAACCTCTGTGACTCTGGTCACCTTTTAAAGTTTTTTTTTCTTAAAAGTCTAACGTAAATGTTTGATCACGATCACACGTTCATACACTCAATTTGAGTCACAGTCAATCAAATGTTTAATGATCTTACTTGTTTGTTCATAACAAGGTTGCATAGACTTAAAACTTGTAAATCAGTGTTTGAAAGTTTACTGCTTTAAGTATTAGACCACGACTAGTTTTATTTTTACATCATTTATTTAATAGTTAGTGAAAAGCTTGTCAATATCCTCCACAATAATGAATTTAATAGAACTCTGTATAAATCTACTTACTGCTTTGTAAAATTGTTTATTTTAATAATCAATAAAACTTAATTTAAACTGATCGTTTATTGTTAAGTGAAAAATTCATATTTAAACAAGAATTCTTGAATTATTTTTCTATTAAATAAAATAATTTTTTTTTTCATTTTGATTGATCGATTTTCAAAAGATAAATTTTTGGTTTGAAGTTTTATTCTTTTTGGTAGAAAAATAAAGATGATTACGAAAAAACGTTAAAATTATTTTAGCATGTTGTGATACACAATTATTTGTCTTCATCTACTGGAAAAGTCATGCTAACTACTTTCACACACCGAAAGTATGTTTTTTGTTCCAGAAGTGAAAGGATGAAAATATAGCGTCCTGGCCTCAAACTGAGTTAGTGAATATGGAGGGTTCACCTTGAGGAGTTGTGAAATCTTCATTCCAAACGACTGCTGCACATGGACTCCAGGATTCCGAATAAACAAACGGCATATGAGCTAATTTTTACCACTGGCTGCGATAGGATTACAGGCCTTAACGTTATTCCACTCCCTTTGGGATCAGACCTTTAGACCAAAGGTTCGACGACTAACCTCCTGAGGAAACAAACTGCTTACGTTTGTGCACCTGGGCAGTATTACAGCCCACAAATAAATCTTATTTTGTTCGGCTCATATGTTTGATGTCTAGTTGTATCAAATTCTATTCAAGCTAAATTAATATAATTTAATTCAAAAACTTATCTAAACGACCAATGAAAACCAGGAAGCACTGTGTAGCTGTTTCGCCTGATGTGAAACCGGTAATCATCTCAGACAATGTGAGGTGGTCGCGCATCATCACAAATTGATTGAAGTTAAGCATGTACACCATGAGATGACAGTTAAGCGTTTATCGTGTGATCGAAAGTCTTGAGTTCAACCTCCACTGTGACTATGTGCGCGCACTTTTGAGGAATCCCACACTTGGACGAAACAGCGGTCCAATACTTTCTGGTTACTAGTGGTTCTTTAGTTAAAACCAGTCTATAATGTAAAATATGAGAATTCTTCAATCTTCAAAAACTCTACCATATTAAACATGAATATCTCACAGTAATAATAATACTTTAAATCACTTACTTTTGTGATTAATCTTATATTGCATATAATTGTTAAAGATAATTACAGTTGTGTGATGGTGGTCTATATCGTTCACTATTTAACTGATAGAATATCTGAAGTTTGTGCTGATGATGTCGTTCAGAAGAACGATGAAAGCTCCACGACCAAACCAGGTCCTATTAAACCAAAAATTTTACTCATTAAAATCTGTCGACTTGATGCTATATCTGTATATAGGATTAGGCAACCGCAGTAAGAGAACATAATGAAAATCATTCAAACTCACGAATAATGAATAGTTTGCAAAGATTCACGTTCGACTTGGCTTTTTATTGTATTCTTTGCTGTGTTATTTTAATTGTTTGACAGAGAATACTTTCGATTTGGTTACTGATCCTTCTAAATAAGAGGAAATGTTTTAGTTGACCAATTTTCTGACTGCATACACAAATTTAAAATATGGATACTGATGTTAGAATAATCATTACTTTTCTGATCATTGAAATTATTTACACTTTTGTTTATTTATTTATTTTTTTGCACCATCTGTTTAGAACTCCGGTGACATGATGGCACAGAATAGTCCACGTCGTAGTCCTCGCACTGTTAACACCAACTATTCGGTAAATGCGAACACTGTTGAATCAACTTATAACCCAATTGAGTCCTGTACACCAATAGGCGGCAGTTTACAAGCCTCTGTATCTGTTCATTGTTCTTCTAACCTATTGAAACCAATGTCGACGTCGATACCATCTACCACGACTACCACTGCTGCTATTTTCTCAGGAAATGTAGACTCAACGCTTAAAAATAAATCATTTATCCCTTCACGAATAAATAATAGTAGTAGTGTTAGTAATCATCAAACTGTAACAATAAGTCAGAAACATGGTAGTATTTCTTCTCATCCACCTCCTCCACCCCTCCCACAACAACAAGAAAAAACAGCTGATTTACTGATTGATGACCCAGCGAATGAAATGACCATTAGTGAACTACGTTCAATAGCTGAGCGTCAGCGTCAACAACTGGCTAGACAAGCTCAACAATTACAAGCTAGAGAAGAACGTCGTGCATGGCTTCGTTCGTTAAATTCACAACGTTCAGCACAAAATCGATGTGTTGAAAATGAAAAGGTAAGTGGATAAACAAAATTCAGTGATACACTACTTTCGTTCCTTTTCTGTTTATCATTGTGATAACCTTGAAACCAATAATAGTTGTGGTATTTTTCTAGTTCTCTGTATACGTTTCAGGAGCTTTTTTAGTTAAATAATGAGCACTGGAGATAAGTACTTTAAGTATATGGTACTTATTGATTCTTATCTGATGTTTCTACCTGTCGTGATAGTAGTTAATCAAATTCAACAATTTTAACTAGTCTTTTAATTAATTTGTGAATCTCGGGTATTATATTTAACCATTTTTATTTCAGTTACTTAAGTAATACCATGTGGTACACTTAAGCTCCCGATCAATCTCTTGAGTTCTGCTTTACTGTTCATCATAATATGCAGCTACTATGCTCACTCTTAAAGCTTGATTAGTCCAACTATACAATGGGAGAAGACAGTGACTACGTTTGAAGCGTTCTAAAAAAAAGAATTATACTTACTACTCATACCAAACTGATCCAAGTAATACTTCATATAGAGCGAACTTGACTAAGTGAATAATCTGTTAATACCAACTCACAATCTCTTCTGGTCTTAAGATATCATGTGGTCTTTCTGGTGTCGCTCGACAGATCAGTTGACTGCACAGAGCAATATTCTTTTCATGTAGCCTACTTGTTCAATTAACTGTTGTTTTTCCTAACAATCCAATAACGTATTTAACACCAATATTTGCATGACTTTGTTAATGGTTATCGAAATTTTTTCAATTATAAATTCGAAATATAAAATGTTTGATTACTTATGCCTCTGTAGATTTTCCTGTCCCAATCAAAATATCTAGCTGAATCAGATGATCTAAGAAAATGATTAACAATACATAAGTTATTATAAAGAATGTCGATTACGAAATTATTCGTGTACAAGGGTGAGGATAAAAAGTTTTCGAAACATCCTTAGATTACTAGAAGTTAGCACCAGTGGTTTTCGGGTTGATTGCAACATGATAAACTGTTATGTAATTTCCTGTTTTTTTCTACGGTCGTTCAAAGTAGTTTTTAACTTCCTTTTTTTGGCTATCCCATAGGTCACTTCTAAACCATCTGATCTTAGTCAAGAACAAGAAATCCGATTGCACAAATTACGTGGTTTTCGTGGCCAAACAGAACAAGTTCGTTTGAGCAATGAAAATCTAGGTGAGAGTGTTAAAAATTGCCATATTTAAACTTTTGGTCGCTTCGTCAATTAGTGGCTTGATACTAATGTAGTAGTAACACTTAAGGTTCTTTTATTTCTAAAAAAGTCAGTTTCCCATCAAAATCAACCGGTTTATGTAATGGAAACAAATCCAAATAAATCAATTGGAAAATGTATCATGGTAAAGTATCGCAAGCGTTAATGATAGTGGCAAAAGCTGTCAGTCATTGTTGAAAACCAAAGAACAATTGATAACTATAAAAGTCGGGGTATTGTGCGACTAAAATAATGTGAGAATAATTCAGTTTTAAAGAAAGCTAATCATTGTTGGGTCATCTTGACATCAATGTCTTAGACTGAAGCGAAAATTGACATGTTTGTGTGTCACAGATTACAAATGAATTTTACAGATAGGTACAGTTAACCACTAGGGCCCTGATTCTATAGTTTTTTTTATCGATCACTGTCAGAACATCTATTGATCTACTTTTCATCTTCCTTTCACTATAATTGTGTATTTAACACCTTTTTTCTGCAGTTCTTTCGTCTTGTTGGTATTCCATTTTCCTACAACATTTTGCAGTAATGTAATACTTTCACGGAATTCGCGTTATTCTCATCTATTAGTATTGATTAGTTTAGAAGGCGTCACATAATTAATTTTTTTCTCTCGCTTAACTGATATCTTTCCCATTATTACCCTAGAATCAAGAGAAAGAAAACAAGTACTTATTAAGAGTGTAGTCCGAGTTTTATTCATTCATAAATTCGAAAGAGACTTTTCATCATGAATTAATATAACTTAAAAAGCTATTGAAAATCAAGGACCTCTGAAATACCTGTTCAATCATTGTTTAAAACTTCTCGGTGAAACAACTGGAACTTAAGCTGTAAATCACTGAATTCCAACTTAATATTTTTAAAGGTAACCCGGTCTACTCAATACCAAAAGATTCTGAATTCCATTTATTTTTGGGGTTGTAAGCTTGAATTGTCAAAGATTTTCAAACTAGATATAAAATATCTGCTCAATACTTCATAGCTTTCAGTTATAGTTCCTTAATTGGTTTTAGTTCGTGACAAACTTTCTTCATATATTAGATTAATCTTTACAAACTGCGCATATCTTCTGGTAAGTTAGTCCGCTGAAAAGATTTGGCCATCTAACTTTAAACTGTATCAATATTCTAATAAAAGTTCTTTTTTCGGATTTGTTAAATTTAGTAATTATGAATGGTAACCTACCTGTATGTACTCACACTCTATCATAGAAGACTTACGAATTAGTGTGATGTTAAACACGAGAAAGATCGAATGAAAACTATATTTGTTTGCATATTTTTCTCCTTTTTCTATCTTTTGGAAAAACAAAAGAAAACAATTATATTTGAATAAGACATTCATCTTATAGATGTTAGATGGAAAAAGTATTAATAATAGTAGTAACCTATTTGATAGAAAAATTTCGTGATTGAAGATAAATGTTAGGTAGTGATTATTGAAAATGTTTTTTCAAATAAATATTTTTGGTTATTTGCCATTTAAATGTATGGTAAATAGAAGTTTGCTAAATTATTGCACAATTAATCCTATGAATTCCATATTGTATCAAAATTTATGGCATTGAATAAGGTTATTATTATTATTATTATTATTATTATTATTATTATTATTATTATTATTATTATTATTATTATTATTATTTCAATGTTAAATTGTGTTAAGAGGATTTTAGTCATTAGTAAAACAATTATTACATTTTGTATAAAAGTTTGAAAATGGCAAAGTGAACACTTGTTCTGTTATCTTTAATATTGGATATACATTAATTATGTATAGAGAACAAAAATGTTGATCGTACACCTGAATGTAATATTAAACATCAGATTAATTTTTAAAAAGATAAGTTCTGTGTACAATCAGTAATTTGTCTGTATTTTCTAAGAGCATTATTTATTTATTAACTTATTCCAGTTGTTGAATAAATCAGCGAGTATCATATGGTCGTTTTATATACCAGTCTAAAAATTGATAGGTTTGAATCTTATGTCTTTCATGTTCTGTCCTAGTTGTCACAGTTAAAAATCGGTTCTAAAGATATAGTTATTCTTAATCCTCCTCAAAACTTTATTTCTGGAATTTAGTTTCTTCGAAATATATTTTGTATGTTTACTTCAACACTGCCATAAGTATTATTATTTCAGTTCCTTTCTATATGCTGACGTGATATGGTAACTTGTGCCGTTGCACATTTGTGACAGGTATTATTGTTTGAAACTTATTGATTATCTTCAGGTAGTTAAGAAATTAACTGTGATACGTTAACAGTATTCTTAATAATAGACTCTAATACGTAGAGTTTAGTCGGTCATGAGTCTACCTCAATATACTTTCACTCGGAAAGCCAGTTAGTATAATTGCTAACTCATAATTTAGTACGTGAATCTGTTCATAGTCTTTAAATTTATATGCTTATCAAATTGTTGTGACGGGCGGTGTCCAAAATCTGATAATGATACATGATGTGTTACGTGCTAATCCACCAAACTTACTATTTGAGCGAGAACACAAGAGTGAGAGAGAAAGTGTATTGGGCTACCGAATAAAATGCACAAATACTCATATATACCACTTTAATCCTTAGGAAATTAGTCCATTTTCTAGCTAATGAAATACACTTGTCCTTTAGGTCACTTCTGATTGCCATCGATTGACCTTCGAAGCATTGTCCGCTTATGTTAGGACCACCAAGTAGGCTACGTTAGGGTTAGATGTAGCATATTCAGTGATGACAAATCGGTTAGTAAAGCTGTAAGTCTTTATTCGATGATGATGATTGGGACTTGCGTTACGTATGCTCAACTAATGCCTAGTTATGACTGAGTGACTTAACTGAATAGTCCTTAAGGTATCCCAAAACTGATTGAATATTCTAACATGAAGTATCAATATTTGGATCTAGTGAGTTTTGAAAATGATTTCATATGAAAGTGTTCAGTAAAAGGAATCTTTCATCTAAGTGATGTAGCTCAGAATAAAGACTGATGGCGATTCTGCTTCAGTTTTCTGTTGTATGATTCATAACCACTAAAATAATTCTTAGTTGTGTTTTTACGCTAAGTGTACACGTCGACATTTACTACTCCTATTTCCTGTCATTTATTTCTTCACGGTAATGTCATTTCATTCCATTTGGTATGTTTCTTGATACCCTGTTGCATCGGGTGTTTTTTTCCTTTTATGAGTAAATTGTAGCGATTTGATTCAAGGAAATCGATCGATCAGGAGATAACTTATATTCTAATTTTGTTTCAGGTTAAGTGTTTTTGATACCGATTTCATTTTATACAATGAGCATGAATGTTAGCCAATGAAATTGGCGGAGAACTGATGTCGGATAATGTCCAACATTGGATTATTAACATGGAATCGAATTCCCATGCAAAATAAATGGACTTCACAGTTTTTATTACATTTCCGTTCTAACCTCACTCTAACATTTTCTTCCATCTAAATTTCAGTTATTACAACTCACTATTAAAGAACAAATTCGTGTGTTTGGTGTTTAGGCACATGCACTATGTGATTTACTGATGCTTCACAAAATAACCAACGAAGAACTGGCGTTCGAATATGAAATAATTTTGTTTTCCTAGTTACTATTGTTGTCATGTTTTTTTATGTTTTGATTTATACATCCAATATGTATTTAATATATACGTCTAATGTTAATCCCTTTTGTTTTATCGAAACTTCATGTTGTCTAGTAAAAGAAATCGATCGATTAGCATCATTGTTATCTGGTAAAGAACATGATTTACAAGTTTGCCGACAAAGAGCAGATGAAGCTGAACGTATGTTAACTTTAATTAGTCAATGGCATAATGTGATTGCAAGTGCACGTTGTCAAACAATAAATCAAGCCGGAATGACAACAACAGTTGGAACTAATCCAACACATTTATCAGAGGAAACTTCTTCTTCCTCTTCTCTTAGCCTACCTTTTATGCAACCACCTTTTTTCTCTGAACTAGTAAGTATTATTAATTTCATAAATGTTAACATTGAATTGAATCGTATCTACAAGTGCATATATATATATATATATATATATATATATATATATATATATATATATATATCGTTTTTTTCGATGTTCTACCGGAATATATTTTTTATTTTGTCAAAATGGTGGAACATTTGGTAAGAAATTTACATTAATAACGTAAAAATAAATACATAGTTTTTTTGTTTAGCTTTTTAATATCTATTTACTTTACTTCTCATAAAAAATTCCATTATAAAGAAAGTGACTTATGAATTGTAGGCAGAGATGGATGATGGCTAGCAATGGAGTTCAGGACGCGCGTTTCGTCCTTTTTCTTGACTCATCAACTGGATGTACCTCCACCTTACGGTTGATGTCCACTCTATCTCTTCTGATAATTTTTGTGACTTAATAACAATATCAAGGCAATCCACACAGGATTTACATGTATCAAGAAGAGGATGCTCAATTTCAGTCCTAAATATCAATGAGAAGATTCAAACAACCAATACAAATTACTGTTAGGAATATTTAAACAAATAGTTATAAATGAAAGGAATTGACCGCCACTTTTTAATATTCTATTTTTTAATTATTTTAGGATAAGAAAAGATGGCATGATGGCCTTGTTGAAGCAGATCGTTTGGACAGACAATTTGCTTTAGTGTTTGGACGTAAACCTCCCATACAAACATGGTCTTCTAGTCAGAGTAATCTACACTTTGTAAATTCACTTGTATCGGAAACAAAACTAGCACCTCACATTCCGTGTTCACTTCCATCGATGACTGTTCCGTCTGCTTCTCCACCATCTTATTCAACATATCATAACTACTCAAAATCTAGGTAGGTATGAATTTATTCAGTTGCGATTTATATTGACAAGAATTTTATACTTTTCCATTATTCTGGACCCTTATTGAAGTCTATGTACATATTGATGTATGTAATAACTTTTTATTTATTAAGTCTAGAATGTTATTGGAAATCACAATTTATTCTATTCAGTTACTTTCAGAGTTAATTACAGTACATTTATTTGTAAGTTTTTCTCAATTGAAATCTTAATTTCGATCAAGCATTGTCTATAAAGTACCCACCGTTCTTATTGTATACAGTGATTATTTTCATTAGTCTTTCGCTCGCATAAAATTAGTTACTTGTGGTTATTAGAGGATTACACCTTTTACTTAGCTAGGATCCAATTCTAACCGACGTCTAGTAGGTTTATGTGTTTTAAATGATGATCACTCTGTTTTCAGTGAACACAAGTTCACCGAACATCCTTTAATCAGTAAGTGATGCTTGTCGATTGCTTCCTACTAAGAGTCGTAAGTATCTGTTCTTGATCAGTGCAAACTGAAGTCGCTTTGTAATGTGGTATCACCTTATTATCAGGCCTACATTGCATTTTTAACCAGCTATCAATTTAACGAACTGAATTATTGACATATCACGAGAGCCAATGGAGTACAATTCATTTTGTTTTCTTACAATCGACTTGTCATTTCTTCAATTCGTTAATACTATTCTATTTCATAGTATAAACTGGATGGTCATGGATCAAGTTCCATCCTATTCTCTTCAGAGAATAAGAAGTGGCTTACACTGAGTTACGAAACGTCATGAAATTTAACTTTCCTACTCATTATTATAAATATATTATTTTTATTATTGAGTTTAAATATATTTTGAGGGTTCTTATTTTTAACTGTTTTATTTATCTATTACTTGACTACTCTAATGTGCAATGTTTACTGGAAATACTTTAAATTAGCTTCCGTTTTTTATTATCTAGATATTTATATTGAATATTACTCCATGTATGTATTATTCCCTAATATTAACTCTTTTCGATTTGTGTACTCCATGATTATTTAGCTTACCATTATTCATTATAAATTGCTACATCGATTTAAACCGATTGTCTATTGGGGTTGACATACGACTCTTTTCTATTAAAAAATGAATAAGCTATTCTAATATAGACACTTCTATATCGGATTCGATAACAGCAACTGTCACTAACTACTTCAACAATTAGCATCTAACAATAAAAAGATGAAGTATAGGAAAGACTTGATATTGAAGCAGAAAAACGCAAAATGGTCATTCGCTTTGTTGTTCACTTTGACGAAGTTCCACTTTATTTATTTTTTATTGAACCGAAAACGATTAAATAAATAATTACTGATAAAACCAAACCAAGCTGAAAAATTATCAAACATTTAAATCTATTTCCCAGTCAAATAAATTCACTTGAGATGAATAATATAACTAAGATTTGTTTATCCAAATGACAAATGATTAATCACCAGGATAAATTAACACTAATAAATAACTAGTAAATCCAAACTTATCATTATTATGTTAAGTTAAATGATGAAAAAACTTAATCTGTTTAAATTTAGCCGAAAAATCAGTTATAGGACAATCGATTGTTTCGTTTTGTTTATCCACTAAACTGAATTGGTAAATATATATATATATATATATATATATATATATATATCGTCTAGTTTCGTCTTGTTTAGGACTAATCACCTGAATGTAGCTACATCCCCATGTTGATGTTCAGATTGTGACTCGAACCCCAGTGTCTTTCTCACTAACTTCTGACAAGATGAGTATATAGATGTAGTCCACACAGGATGTACATATACAAATACAGACTGATCAAAATTCAGTCCTGAATTTTAACAATGGCATAAGTAGACCCCTTACTACGAGAGAGTCGATGTGCATATTTCATAGCATTTATTTTTTGGTGATCCCAACCTGTGTTGCAATTCATTTATGATAGTAACTATCTTTATTTTCTAGGGTAACTAGTTTGATCAGTTAGTATCCATTTATCGATCGGTTCATTAGTTGTTTTTATTATGAATTTTTACAAGAAAATAATATCATTACTTTGTTTATTGTCACAAAATCAACTCCCTATTGATGAGAGTTGTTTCCCAATTGTATTTACTCTTCTAAAAGAAAATATTTGCTTAACACTGAAAATAAAAACGAAACCAGCAACATATAGGAAGAAAAGTACAGTGAGAGAGAAAAACACCTCGTCTATTTCTTATGTATTCAGTTCCTCTTTTTCTCATGTATATAAATTAATTTTATCGATTTATTTGTACCACAAATTTTATGTAAAGCAAAACGAACCCAGAAGAATCTAACATCATTTGACATTTCATAAAACTGACAGTTTTTATTGCTACTACTATTACTGTTACTACCAACAATAATAGCAATATATTTATATGAAAAATTTCCTACAAGCACTTAATGTGCTGTAATGGGATTTTTTAGCCATTTACTTATATCGTTTGTTTATCTTCTCCTATTTCTATTATAAAAACAATATGTCTTAATCAAGATGAAACCAATTTGAATTCATTTTATTGCATTCACTTCACTGTACTATTTCGATGAACAACAGATCAATCTCGAGATAGAATAGATTCGTTTTTGTTAATAATTTTTTTAAAGTCGAATTTACCTCGAATGCATTAAATTTATCGATAAGAATAATTAACAGACAAGTTTATATCAAAAACTCGACTTATTTTTGCAGTCATTGAAAACCAAAAAGTAGCGGAAAACCGTCTCATCATAGTATAGGAAGTAGCGGTACATATACATGACCTCACCACAAGTCGCGCAGTATCGAGAAATTGTCGAAACTAAAGATTTAAGTCCATGAGATTTTGACTCAATTACTTAATAGTTAGATCTGGAGATCTGAATGTCCTGGATTCGAACGCTGGTGGATTCATGGATAAGCACCAGTTGGAATGAAACAACTGTTCACTGCTGTCTGATCTTCATTGGTTGCTTAACTAAGGTCAATTGGTGATGTAATTTGTTAACTTGAATAGTTACCACACATCTACGTTGTAGATGACTGGCTGACCTCTTACATTAAAAAATGACAATTATTAAAAATCAAAAACATATTTACATACATCAAGAGTGCGTTAAAGGAAGAGGAAACGCTTACAACTCACTTGTGAATTATGTGGGTTTGTTGTAATTTTATAGCTCCATAAAACAGTTCATATAATTAATGGTCAGCTACATATTTTTCGCCAGAGGTGGCTAGTGATACTTTTACTAACTTTGAAGGATTGTTATATATCCACGTGAAAACATCCTGTTGCAGACGTCCAGCATACACCATCTCTTCAATGGGAAATAATGCTTTATGTCGATTTATTGTCATTTTAAGACAACTAACTTGTTTTGGCCGATTGTATATTTACATGTTAACGCGAATCTGCTGATGAACATCTCTTCATTACGTCATTGACTTAGTATAAAATTAATGCTACCATTCTGTTGTTATCTATTAATGACTGAAGAAAATAATCTTGAATTTAGGCAGTAACTCGTATATTTTTCGCTTAATAGCCTATAAATGACTTTACTATAGAGTTATAAAAGTATATTCATCTGAGGAGGTTGGAGTATGAAACAATCAAAAAATATATTCTGGAAAGTGATTATCCAGCGATATTTGTGCTAAATTCGAATGAGAGTTTGCAAATGTCTGGTTAGTTTTAAAGTCTGGTAAGAGAGTCATCAAAATTTTAAGAGATATGCAGTCAAAATATTCATATCGGTAAAGTTCTGTGCTACATATTTTATGTACGCTTGAAGAATGCGAAGATTATGATAAAGAGTCCTATCATCTCGTACTGTCTCTATTAATTTGCGCGTTTTTTAAACTGATGCTAAAACTGATCACTTTAGATGTAATTCACGAAAAAAGTCAACAGTTCTTTTTATAATGTACGATGAACTTTTATTTCAAAAAAATTGATGCGAACGACCTAAATAAAATCCATTCTTGGAGGAAGTAAACAATTGATTAGTCATAAATGTCAAAGAGCTCCAAATCCTCTGGTACGGCCGATAGTAGAGAGAGTCAGCTCTCCCTCTCGAAATGCTCTCACATGACCACGTGCATACAACAACTGCCAGGGAAGTCCTGCTCACTTCCTTTCAACACAGAGATGTTGTTTACCAAACTGAGAGAACGAAAAGCGAATGTCCGACGATTTAACATGGTTGGCGAATATGGCGTACAAACCTGTGGTTGGTGACCGGCTACCATGAGACTGCATCTCCTTACGTCGCTCCACTGCTTCGTGGATTAGACCATTAGGTCAAAGGCTCTGGGTGTGTTCCCCTAAGAAATTCATCTGCTTCAGTTTGGGCACCCGGGCAGTATCGCAGCTCACATAAATCGAATGATTTATGTAGCGCATATCTATTTGGTGTCTTGTACTAATGTTTATGTGTTGAAATAATGAGGCTAATAAATGTCAAAGAGATATACTGGCTACTTAATTATTTGTGAGTAGTTCGCCGAATACATAAAATTCTAAATGGTTAGTTCTACGGAATATCACCTGTCACCGTATTCCACATAATATCAATTACGATAATTGATTCTCAGGTAGTTACAATTTGGGTGTGAGGTATAGTGGCTTAATTAACTTTATAACTGCCATAATTGTCATAAGCTTTGGAAATCTATGAGGTTATGAAGTCGTGCTCGTTCCGTGAACAACTGTGTTCGTCATATATTGGGTACAGCCATTCATTTCAGAAATAGTAATATATTAGTTGATGTAATTCCTAAAATATCTGTCTTGGTATTCATTTTATTCATTTGTGAACTCTTCAATACTCACATCAATTGAACTCTTTTGAATTCATTTTACTGGAGATTTGTAACAGGTATATCAGTAGGATTATAATTTAATAACCTATTAATAAATAATTTTAGGTCCGATTATATGATTTATTTGTAAAATAGAACTTATTTACGTTACAAA